TTCACAGGCACACAGCATGTTGCAAAGGCCATTCATGTAGAAGAAGGCTGGGTAAAGATAGTGTTAACAGGGAAGCTCATCAGGAAAGCAGTGCCAGTCTTTTTCAAGCAGAAAGGCTTGAAAACAGGGAATCAGTTGTTTACACAATCAATATAAGGCTGAAGATGCAAAGATCAGGAAGGCTGCCACTGGCACACAAGAGGAAAAAAATTAATGATTGCAGCATACCAAAGGAATGTTATGGATGATCTTCAGCAAGTTTCCCAGAAGCCACTGGGAAAAAAACATGTGTACCCTATTTTTGACACCCCAGTGTCCATTGGTGCTGCCAGAGAATAAGGGCTTCTTCTCTTCTGCCTTCCAAATCTGGTAAAAGTATCTCTCAAGAGTACTTGAGTACCTGGAGGACTGAGCCCAGAAACATGCTGATGATGTATTCTGGGATGCATATTTCTTAGGATTTCCCTTATATTGAGGAGAGAATGTACAAAGAGGAAAGCATTCTGCCTAGTTGCTAACAGTCAGTCTAACATGGCCCACCTCTTTGACCACTCATCACCCATAATACTCTTCTATCCATATTTTTCTCTTAAATGATCAATAGCAACACTATGCTTCATATAGGTAACTATGACTTCACCTTCTCCAAGAAGGGGTGTCAAAAATCCCACTGGGCACACTCTCATTTTCTGGGGGATGTCTGTTCCTTTTCTAGTTTGATATGCTGTAATCCATAGACTACATTATAAGATTAAGCATCATCCACACAATTTAAATGAAGATTAATAAATATTACTAATAATTATAACGTCCTTCTTCCACCAGTGTTTCAAGTTCCCTATGACCTCATTCAGGTGGTTGTGGTTGTTTACCTGGTAGGAAGATACAAATCTTCATTATTGACCCTTAGTGGTCCTCCCTGCATGAGTCACTATAGTTTTCCATTAACTTATACTCTGAGGATCAGTCTCCTAGGTGGCAGACATGGTCCTTCCTGCCCCCACGTAGCAGCAATCCTATTTCCCCTTGATAATCAAGAGCAATCAACCACCCAGTAACCCTCTTCTTTGTTTGTTCAGTAGAATGAGGAGCCCCAAATTGCCAGGTGGCAGTATAACTTTCTATTCAATGAAACCAGTGTTGGTCCCCCTGGTGAAAGCCTTCCTTCCTTGGGACATTCACAGAAAGACGATATTGTGCAAAGAAGCATCACAAAAGTAATGCGTTCCATGGAGACTCACAGGTGGAAGACATTCATAAGCAGAGTCCTTAGAGGGCACATGAGTATGAATGGCTTTGGGGCCCTCGCAAGTGTAGATCTGTGGGGGAGGAGACCAAGTACTGGGATCAACCTGCTTGATAGAAACCTGATATGCTAAGTGATTTTTTAAAATAACACTACTGTATTTCTCTTTTAGGTATTTGTGTTTTATACTGTCACCAAGAGAGTCCTAGAAATATCTGGTTAGGAGCTACTGCTGTAGTCCTTGTCTTTTGAAGTAGTAAAACCTCTTTTTCCTTTCCCAATTGTATTCCTGTGGCTAAGACAGTGCCTGAGGTTGGGGTGAGATACTAGCTCCAGGGACACTAGTTCAATAGCTAGTGAACATTGGTTCCAAGGTCCCTGCTCAGCAGTGGAAGGAATCCTCTGTCATGTCTGCTATCTTTGGATTGACTTAAAAAAAAAAAAGGTTTTATGTATTTGACAGAGAGAGACAGAGAATGCGCACACAAGCAGGGGGAGCAGTAGACAGAGGGAGAAGCAGGCTCCCCACTGAGCATCGAGCCTGACACAGGGCTCAATCCCAGGACCCCGAGATCATTACCTGAGATGAAGGCAGACACTTAACCGACTGAGCCACCCAGGCACTCCCAGACTGACTGTTTGATCGCCTTTTTTGGGGGGGGGGTCCCTTGGCTAGATCAAGGCATAGATAAAATTGTATTTTTGGATACAAAACTCAGAAGCATGGATCACTTGACAGATAGAATGACAATTCAGCAGGATTCTGTAGCACTGGCCTTAGTGAGCAAGATGAACATCTTGACTGTTGGAACACATCTGGAGGAATGGATTTGGATGTGTGTGGGGGGGCACCTTTGAGAGGTGTTTGAGAGATGCATATATTTAGAATTACTGTCAAAGAAGAGTTGGTGGGGTCAGGGGTGTTGAAATAGGAGAAGACTTGATGAAGGGAGAACCCAATAAGCATCGTCATCTAATTTAGGGGTTGACATATTATAGGAAAGGGATGATAGATTACCAGTGGGCAATAGTTAAAGGGAAACAGATTCTAACTCAACTGAAGAATGCATTTTCTTTTTTTAAAAGAGATTTTATTTATTTACTTGAGAGAGAGAGAGAGAGCATGAGAGGGGAGTGGAAGAGGGAGAAGCAGGCTCCCTGCTGAGCTGGGAGCCAGATGCGGGACTCAATCCTGGGACTCCAGGGTCATGACATGAGCCGAAGGCAGTCGCTCAACCAACTGAGCCACCCAGGCACCCAAGAATGCATTTTCTGAAACTGGACCTGTCCACAGGCAGAATGACCTTTTCCTTCTGCCTCCTCCTCACCAGCTTGTGCTCTCTCTTGATCACTCTTTCTCTCTCATAAATAAATAAATAAATAAATAAACAAACAAATAAATAAAATAAATAAAATCTTTAAAGAAAAAAAGAAGAATGGCTTCAGGTAATAGGAGAAAACAAATCACACCGGCAAATACACCAAGTTAGTACACTCAAAGAAAGGAAACCTTAACATTGACAACATTGACACTTGTAATATCTCAACATTTATTTTAATTGTGTACATTAATCTGGGTTAAGCAAATATGATTAAAACACTAGACAATTAAAAAGAAGCAAAAATATAATGCAACCACATTTCTTAAATCTGCAGAATTCTGTGCCTTTTTAGACATGAAAGAGGCTGTTTTGAATAGAAAATCAATGTTGATTTTACAAGCTTTCTTTCAATTTCTTGCATATTGACTCTAAAACCCCTTTAAAGGCTAAGTGTATCTTAAAGGTGGAGAAGTCAGCCTATCTTGGACCTCTTTATCCTGTACTCCATCAACTGACTCAGGGTTGGTATGTCCCACAATAAGGAGCAGCCTTTCTTTCTCTTTTACTCATTCATTCAGCACCTATGTATCAGTGTCTCCTAAGAGCCAAGTCCCATCATGTGGGCTACACTTGAGTAATACCAGCTCACATTCAGTGTTGGTACATGACATATTGTACAATGTTTCCCCTCCAGTGCAAATCTAATGCACATCTATGCAAATCAATGGGGCGTTCCCCTCTGATCATTTGGTGGGAAGACAAATCCACCACCCAGTGTGCACAGGACTCACAAACTGGAGAGATATGGAGAAATTTTCTAATCAAATCAAGAGAAGATACCCTCATTTTTCATCAGAAAAAGTCGCAGGTTGTTTCTTCTCTCAAGGACCTTACACAGGGATGCTGGTCCCAAGGGCAGAGAAGCTTAGTTGAACATGAGCAGAGTCATGGATGGGCCTGCAATCTGTTTAGACAACCAACATGTTTCTGTGTTCCAGGCACCTGGGAGCCAGTAGTTGCTGCTATCTTGGGATAGTCTGTAGTGAAAAATAAGTTACTGAAGGCCCTGGGCTCAGATCAGTTAGCTTACTGGGGTTTCCCTGCGTTGACAAGCTCTTCTTTGGGAAGGTCTGTGAGTCAAATCTCTATCCAGCAGAGAAATCTGAGTTCAGAAGAGCATCTTAGTTCAGAATTGTTTTCATGGAAAGGGGAGGAGAGGGAGGGCGGGCTGTTTGGCATTTGTGGCACTTTATGGGGAGACCTAGGATGCCCAGAGGAGATGCATGATTTAATACTTTCCTGTCTTTGTAAGAAGAGTGTGCCTCAGGGGAGGCCTGTGGAGGGCAGTGTTACCTGGTAAAATGAGATACACATACTGCCCAGTACACAGTCACTACTAAATCAATGCTTGGTATTGTGCTCACTGTTACTAAAGAGAACATGGGTTCTGGAGAGAGACAGCAATGGATCCAAACAATGCAATGACCACCTTCCGAGCCTCAATATCTTCATCTGTAAATTGGGGACAAGAATACCCTGTGCATAGGATTAGTATGAGAATTAATGCCATCCCTTTGTGACAACGCCTGGTATGTAGTAAGGCCTTGAGAAATGTTAACCACTTTCCTCCTTTCTTAATCCTGCTGGAGTCTATACACCATAAAACCTACTTTAGAAGATTTCCCTGTAACTATTGGGAATCAAGGGCAAAGGTATTAATCAATTATGAAGATTCAGACACAGATGTTTCTTTGGCCAGTGGCCTTCTAAGGATCACACCCTATGGAATTTAAACTTAACTGTGTAGGTTGTCTAATACATGACCACATGCCTATAGGAAAAGAAAAAAACCTCAATTTATAGTGAAAAGTGGGAAGGAGAAGATAATTAAAATCTGCTGTATAATTCACTCAAAAGCAACTAGCTACTTTTAAATGTGTATGGAAAGTTAAAAAAATTATATATATATATATATATATATATATATATATATATATAAAATACATGCCAATCCCTAGCATTCAACGTCTGCAATTTACCCACCAGACATCATCAAAGATCTTCAACCTGGCCCCTCAGAAGCTTCAGGGGATCTCCTGCTTTCAAGTCCCAAAGATATACTTAGAGCTGTGACATAGAATGTGGGTTTGCTCTCTGTCCCAAAAGTCAGGACACACTGAAACCCATGCTCCTGCCTATCGTACCAGGCCACCTTAACTCATCAGGAGGCCAACCTGTCTTGGGAAAGCTAAGATTAAATTCTTGTTCAATCCTTTTTTCTTGGGCCTGAAATAAGGCCATGGACATAAAGTGCTTTCTAAGTTATAAAAAGCTACACACATAAGTAATTATCATAGCATCATTAAGATACTCTACTGGATGTAAGCAGTTCAACTTGAGAGAGGGGCAAAAGCACGAAGAAATCAAATGGGGAGGGAGAAAGTGAGGAAAGAGGAGCCAGCAACTTGGGGCAACTGGGGACAGCCAAACTTGTCCAGGACTCATCAGCTTCTCAGCTTGGAAGAGCTAAAAGAAAATAGTAGCAGCCATGAGATTGGAAATACACATCCAATCCAGTAACCAGTCTGAAGTTCTTTGGGTGGTTGATGTTTCCAGGCATTAGGAGTAACAGTCCAGGTTAATGCATCTTCTAGAAAGAAGGCAGAACAGGCCTGTAGCTGGTAGAGAGCCTGATTGCTACCCATTCCCATTGCCTTCAAGGTAGATATTCTAGCTGAGGAGGTGCTAAGGAGAAGGGGTTGCCAGGATCTGGACAGGCAGCATCCTACGGGCACCGGGTCCCATGCAGCTCAGACACTGAGGTCAATTCTGCTGGCTTTTGCATGCAAACCTGTCTTCAGGCTGTGTTGAAAATACAGTCTGGAGGCTGCCCAAGCAGCCCTTCCTGGTTAGGCCAGCCGCAGGAGGCACCATCCCTGCCCACACATGCGCTATCCTGGCCTTTACCTGCTGCTGGCCCCCCACCTGTATCTTGTTTTATTGAACAACTTGGATTTTGAGTCCTGATCTGATGCTATACAAGTAAGAGTGGAGGCAACCCAAGGGAATGTAGCAGAGAGCCCTGGATTTGAATTCAAAGTCCTGGGTGAGGTCCTGATTCTGTCATCCAGTAGCTAGGTGTTTCCCCAGGCCCTTCTCCTTTTTAGGTCTTTATCTGCTTGCCCTCAAATGAGGCTAACAACACAGGCCTGGCCAGCATCCCAAGATAGCTGGAGGGCTCACCTGAGGTGGTTCATGGAAGGTGCTTCTTGAGAGGAAGAGACCATGACCCCTGCAACTTAGAAGTATATGTGGGGAGGGTATTTATCTGTGCCACCTAAAGCTTCAAAGTCTCATAGGGCTTCCCTAAACATAAAGGTTAAGAGAGATAAGAATATTCTGGGTTGAGACTCGAGGAGAGACCAGGGCACATTTCTTCTCCCTAATAAATTTTCTGGCTCCTTGGCACCCACCTAGAAGAGCTTCTCATAGCATTTCCCGCAATGGACGGTGTCGCGGTGGATGAAGATCTGATCCAGGAGCTCACCCATTGGTTTACTGCAAATCCCACACTGGAAGAGAAAGCAAGCTGGAGGTCAACATGCAAATGAAGCAATGGAAATGGGATCACACAGTAACTAGGAGCCCAGGTTTCAGAAATGGGCCTGGGTTTGAGCCCTAAATCCACTCCTTATTAGCTGGATGAGGTTGGGGAAGTTGCTGAGTGTCTCTTTCTTCATATACAAAATAGGCACAGTGGCAGGTTAGCATGAGGATATAGTGAGGTAGTCAAACTGGGGTCATACACAAAGGAAGTCATTGCTGTGGGAATTTAGTTGTGACGTTTAAGGTCCAAAGAAGGTGATATGAAATACTAATAAAAGGGAAGGTTATCATAGGAGTATAGCTCTGCCGTCCTCATGACTCTTACACCTGCCACTCTAGTGGCCACCTACAGAACAAGAGTGGCCAGCTATCTGCAGCAGGCCTTCTTGCAGTCGGTCTTGAATAAGAGGAATCATGAGTCTCCAGGTGTCTGGGTCTCCAATGATCTCCAAGACTACCCTGCGCTGAGCCTTCTGCTCATTCAGCTCCGAGTCCTGCCAAGCCTCTGACATGGAGCACAATCACACAGAGAACAAGCCTTCTTTACACTCTTTGATCCAGAAGCCTCCCTAACTCTGGACCATGTTAGGAGCACCACCCTTCTTCCTTACCTTAAAGCAATAGTCATGGCAGCAGATGCCAAGATGCTCTAGGGTAATCTTTGGACAGTCTCTGATCTCCTGGTTGCAGTAAGTACAGATCCTTCCACTTATTCTGTGAGATGAAAAACAAGACCTTGGCAGTCAGGCTGGCATGCAGACTACTGATGTGACTCGATGCCCAGATACTCAGCCTGCCCTCTTTTTCTGTAGTGTGCAGTTGGTTGCATATCCCTGGGCTGGACTGGATCCCAGCCCACAATAGACCCTAATGATATTTCCAGAAGGTGGTCATGTATCTTTATCCTACTTGCAATCCTAAGATGACCAGAAGACTTCCCGGTATGATTCTTACTCCAGGCAGCTTGCCTCTCCCTGACCCCTTGCTTAGCATCCTGGGGGCACTAACCCCCTCTAGAATAGGAAGACCCATGTCTCCCTCTATAAGAAACATGCCCTTGAATGCCGTACCTGGCCCCCGGTCTTGATGGCCCTTCTCTTCATGCCTGTGACCAGTAAACCCTGCCTCTCAGATCCTATACTCTTGAACCTACCCTGACCCATGATACTCTAAGGACCATCACAAAGACAGTATGGCTGTAGAGCCTGCTGGGACCTCATGTTGAAGTTCTAGATACTAACTTCTAGGTTGCGTATCTCCCCACTTTGAGAATCCCTGCCTTTGTTCTTGAGAGTCACCCCTGCCTTTCTTCCTCAGAGAGAACCTGACAAAAGTGCCTGCCTGCCCTGATCCTTCAGGTGTAAACTGGGAATGCTTTCTTTTAGAGATTTGAGTATGCTTTTGATGGGAACTAGGGGTGGTGCTACCGACCTGAAGCCACATAGGCTTTTCCTTTCAAGGGCCCAGAATTACTGTGAGCATCTCAGGTTTGGTCCCTCCTTATGCTCCTGGACCAGGGCTCAGTCTCTTGACAGTGTTGTTAAGGACTCCTTCTTTCCTCAAGGCCCTGTTCCCCCCATGTATTTTGACATGACCAGTTTCAGCTCACAGGCAGATAATACAGTAGAAATATCTCTGACCTAGGAGTAGTCATGGACCTGGGGTTTTGTCCTGGCTCTGCCACTAGCTCACTGCGTAACATATGGCACATTAGTTATTCTTTCCAGTCTTGTTTACTCCACTGTGACCTGAGTGAACTGCATCTCTAAGAGTCCTTTCTCTTCTGTTTCAAGAATTTTAAAGTAGGACTTCTTTATCATTAAGACCATCCTGTGACCACTGTCATCTAGTGACAGCTTTTGAAACTCCTGAATGGGACACTTTCTGCAGCTTCATTCAATTCAAATGAATGGTTCTGTCTGGCTTCTTGATGATAGCAACCCAGTTTTCTTAATTTTCCACCCAGCACTCCCTTTTGTAGCTTAGCTTTTTAAAATTTCCGGTCATATGTGCAGGTTTCTTAAGTGACCATTTATGTTCTAATCCCAAGGGCCTCTCCTGCTCACATGAGCTCCCTGGCCTTTCAGACACCACCATGTGCCTTCAGTAGCCCTTTGAGTTTACCTTCTGGTCTCAGCTGGGTTTAAAGGTCACCACAAATGTGACATCCCAATAAGGGAAGCACCATCCAAGGAGTGGCGTGAGACACCTGCAAGTGGACCAAAAGCAGCCAAGCAGAAAACAAAAGCAAATGGACTTAGTGTGGAAATGTCCCTCAGTTGTTTCTTCTCTGTAGACCTGAGAGCTCCCTGGTAAGATAGTAGACTTACCTCTCAGAGTACAGAGAGCTGTCACATGCAGGTTTCTTCTCCACGTCACATGAGTCTCCAGTGTTTCTAATACTGCAGAGAGTGTGATGGGGAAGAGGAGGGCAGAAGATGGGAGCCAGATGACTACCACCATCATGAGAGGAAATGCTTTGCTGATATTATTAACCTTGCGGCCACAAGCTGAGACATGACTCTACATGACCTGCCATCATCTGTTATGCTGAGTGGCAGGGGAAGCTTTGAACTTCATGCCAGGGAGGCATAATTCTATTGGAGAAGAGCCTTTCCAGTGGGGGGCAAAGAAGACCTGCCATGCTGAAGAAGAGGACAAAAGGAATGGCTGCAGTTCATTGACCAGGTGGATGGGATCAGGGCTTTTCTTCCCACGTACGTGACTGCCTTACAATGTGACAGTCACCAGGAGTCCACTCACAGCAGAAACCAGGCATTAGGAATGGGAACAAATAAAAGAAGGAAATATTCTAACATACTACCTATGCTTGAGTTACAGGGGGAGTTGAGGAGAAGGGTTTTTTTGCTTTTTGTATCTTCATTTTTCAATATGACTTTTGATAATAAACATACATGGTTTTAAAAAAAAAATCCCTATTGCCAGGAAAGTGTGACTAGCTACAAGCCATAGGACACACTTTAGTGATACTGCCTTTCTCACAGGACCCATGTGGTGGCCTTAAGAGGTAGCCAGAAAAACAGCTGTGCAGAGGTTAAGTGACCTGGAGTAAGCCATGAGCTAGAATTTCATCCCAGGTTCTGTTTTGTTTTTGCTTTTAGCATTAAGTTTATCTCTAAGCTTCCTGGAAGGTAAAGCAAAAGGGGAAATCACACTAGACTATACGATCTTCTAATAAAGAAACTCTATTGTTTTTTTCATAAGATACAACATTTTAACTGAATGTAAAATTCAATTTTAAAATAAATTTAATTGTCAGACTGTGTAAGAATTAAATTTAACAGAGTGGTGGCAATGGAAAAAGAAAAACCAAGAGTACAGTCAAGTGACACTCATAGACGCAAATGCTAGATGGCAAGGAGAGCTCCCTGAAAAAAAAGAGAAAAAAAGGCCATAGAGACAGAAAACAGATCAATGGTGGCCAGGAGCTGTGGCTGGTGGTATGGGGGGTTGCTAATGGGTATGGGGTTTCCTTTTGCGGTGGTGAAAATGTTCTGGAATTGGATGGTGTTTATGGTTGCAAACATGGTGAATGTACCAAACACCACTGAATTATATACTTAAAGAGTGAATTTTATGAGATAGGAGTTGTATTTCAAAAAAGTTATTGACAAAAATCACCCTAAGGAGTTACAGATGAAGACACTAAGGTTCAGGAAGACAGAGCATCAAAAATAACCCAACCAATGGGGTCAAGCTGGGGCTTGAACTTGACACCTATGGTTATTATTCCACAGTACCAGTGAAAGCTGGTTCAGAATCCCCAGAGGCCCAATCCTGAAATAAGGCATGATGTTCCTCTCTGTTACTAAAATCTTCATCCTAGCAGCAAGATGATGTGTCATTAAAAAAAAAAAAAAAAAAAAAAAAGACATTCCCAGAGGAATGCTGTCTCAGTGCGGATTACTTTTTAACTGAAGGTGGCATGAAGATATCTTTCAGATGATGAGTGAAAAGTTATGCATATATCAGAACCTGCAGTCAAGCGTGTGTTCCAGTATGTGCAGTCAAATGTGAGGCATCCTGGCATGCTGGAAAAAGTATGGGAGCTTGAGAGAGGAGCCCTGACATACAATGGAATTAACTAGGTAAAAAGTCCCTCAGGGCCTCACCAGCTCTGTAAAGAGCAATGCTCTCAGAATTTTACTACAGAAAGCTTGTCTACCAAGAAACAAAGCCAGATGGAAAGAAATGGCACTGGAAGTGGGGTATAGGATGAATTAACAATAGAGGGGGAACACAAAGGCACTGATTTAGGTAAAACAGCTTGAGATTCATAAATCATGACTGTGGGCGATTACAGCATTCACCCACTCAACAAATGATTACACAGAAACAATCCTGGGCCAAGCCCCAGAAGAGGTACTGAGGATTCAGGATCATGGAAGGATTTGGGACTCGCTCTTACCTGCTGTAGCATGAAGACACTGACTTCCCGGAGGATACCTCACTAGCATTCACGTATTCCTTCACAAAGAGAATCCCTTTGCTGTAGAAGGAGCACAGTAGAACAGAAAGAGGTATACTGAGAGATGCCAGGGGACAGGGCCTGGCCCAAAGGAGGGGTCCAGGGCTGGGACGGTTCCCACCTGGTTTGAAGGAAGGGAAGACACTTATGGTAAATCCTGGGGGTAGAAGTGCTGATGGGCTCTAGCCACCACCAGGCAAGGAAAATGGCAAACAGGAGCTGTTGCCCTGCTGAGCCCGCCGTGGACTAGACTGAAACTGAAGCCTGTGGGTTCAGCTTTCTATGTGCAGATTTGAGAACCCTAGAAAAAAGCTCCTGGAGTCAATGTCAATATGCTTTCCTTCTTCATGCAGATCTCTACGCTATGGGAGGCTTGTCCCCCACATCCCCAGACTCCAGTACAGTGAACTTTCCATCCTTTTGACTGCATGTTCTTTCCCTTTTATCTGGCGCAGGATAGCCTCAAAGCTGCAGACATAGACTGTTGGTCCTTGCCACGGTGTGTGAATCTCCATCAACAATCTAATCTCTCCCTTCTCAGTCCTAGATACGTCCCTGGCAACAGTGGACATCTGCCTCATGTTGGGCTCACCACGGCCCTGAATTTGGCCTTTATTAAGCTGGCTTGATGTTATCACAGGGACCTCTGATTTCGCTGCCCCCCCCACCTCCTCAGTCTCCCTGCAATAATGGGATAAAAACCAAGTTCTATCCTCTGGGAGGATATAGCCCAGAGAACACTTTCCAGGTTGTCTCTTCTTACCTGGATGAACTGGAGTCCAATTCACTTGGAGAGGCTGGGACATAAACATGAGGCTGCTCAGGAGAGGCAGTGACGGTAACAGTGACCATACAATCCGAGGGGTTTCTTATCCTGAAGGAAGGAAATGGAGGGGTGAGTGTGTAAACATCGAGAGCTGACATCTTCCAGCATCAAGCAGGGTTTGGGGGACCTACCCCTGAGACTGCCACTTCAAGGAGTTTAAAAATATGCCAATGTGTTTAAACAACCCGTGCAAATCATTGCGCTTGTGTTTTATAAGGTTCCTGAGATGAATGGGTGGAACCCCTTACTTTACAGATAAGAAAACCCAGGCGAACTGACCAGGTAACACTGAGAGTCAGTGGCAAAACTTTAATTTTAGAGTATCCTTCCCCACTACAGCCAAAGGCCTTGACCTGTAACTCACTTGGTTTGAAGAGAGTATGAGGACTACCAGGACCTTGACAGACACAGTCCGGCTCACCTCATTGCTGGATGGGACAGCCCCTTCCTAGGATCAAGCTCTACCCCCTCATACTCCAGAGAACTCTTTGGAGAATAGAACACCAACGGAGAGAAGAATAAATACAATTAGGCAGCACTAAAGAAGAGACTTGGATGCCCCTCATTCTAGAAGGCATTTGCCATGGGCAGAGGCAAGAAACTGACAGGTACAATGGTTTGCCTGAATTTCCCTCACTTGGCTGTACACACAGCTGTTGGCCTGAGATCTGACCTCCTAGGTGACTCACAAGGTTTTTTTTCTGACCAGGCCTTTACCTGCTCTCATTCTGCCCTCTGTAGGTCAGGGTACTCTGGTGGGCACTGCCACTGTCCCCCCTCACCACTGTGTGCCATCCCCTTTACATATATCCACTCTTCAGTGGCCTTGGGACAGCTCTATGGGCACACACTGTCCTGGGCTGAATTTGGCTTCTTTCCAACATGTTGCTGCTCAGACCAACCTCTGGCCTGGGCTCTGGGGTCACTGGGGCCACTCCCTTGCTAGAGAATCCAGTGTCCAAGAACACAACTAGTTTAAGGGTGGGGGGGTTGGGTAACAAGCATAGTCTTGCATTTGCCTAGCTCCCCAGTCTCATCTTCTCAAACTTTGTCATATATACCTGAATCTCTAGCCATACTGACTGATCTGTCTCGTACCTTTGCACATAACACCACCTTCTCCTCTGGGAAGCCCTTCTGGAGCACTTGCTCTCTCACCCTGTTTCCTTGTGCCCAGTCATCCTGTGCCTATTCCTATGTCACCTTATGGTATGGGTGAACCATAGAACCATAGGTATAGGTTCATTCTATGAACCATAGAAACTGGAGGAGGTGGATTAGCTGGGAGGAGAGGCCCCATGGGAACCTGGAAAGACAGATAGGGGATAAAATACAAAGCCAGAGAGTTAGAGAAAAAGACTTCGAGAGGAAGGCACAACTAGCAAGTGTCTGGCATCCTGTGGTCCACACCAGCACAAGAGTGGAAGGGGCAGTAGAACCGAGCGGGCAAGGTAAGAAAATATCCCATGGGGATCCTTCTATGACTGCAATGTGAGCAACGACAGACTTCCACCAGGTCAGGTAACATCCCATCTCTCTCTCACAGTCTCCTCCTTCTAGTCTACAAGGCTAGAAGTCCCTTCCAGTCTGGCTCCTCCCTATGCTTCAGGTCCTGACTGCACTCTCCCCTTCTTAGCAGAAAAGCTCTCCCCAACCATCCTAGCTACAATAGCCCCTGGCCTGGCCTATCTCCATTAGAAGACCCAGTTTCCTTCTTTTCTGGGCTTATCACAAATGGAGAGGCAACAGATACAGCACAGTGCTAAGTAGTAAAGGCTCTGGACTCTGCTTTCTAATCCCTGTTAAGCCACTGCCTGGCTGAATGACTGTTGGCAAGCTAGTCAACCTTCCTCTACTTCCATCTGTGTTCCTTAGATCTGAGATAACAATAGTACCTCCACTATATGGTTGGTGTGAGAATCAAGTGCACAAGAACAGTGCCTGCAAATGCATGATGGTTATCATTATGGTGTTACTCCTATCGTGTTTATTCATTGGTGCACCATGTGCTCCCTGAGGGTGAATGGGCAGGGCCCTTCTTTGCCTTCTTGTTCAATGTGTGTGTGGATGCTACCTACAGCTGGCTCACAGGAGATACTTATATAGTTTCTAGGCCCATAGCTCTTGGTTATTTCCAAACTCATGGCCACCTTGTGGAAAGATCTCCAGGGAGGAAAGGGAGCACCCAAATGTTGCCATGCAAGCCGCGCTGGCTGGCAGTGATGGCAGTGGAAGAGTTCATCTCACATCTTTTATCTCCTGGGAGCTCCCATTCACAGAACAACACATCTTCCTCAGAGATCTTCCATCTCCATTAATGGCAGAGGCACTCCATATCCTCTCCTGACCCAGGTTTTCATGTCTGAATGGCTGCCAGAAAGCATGGTACTCTGTGCACTTTCTTTGTTCCAGGCTTGGTCTAACAGATAGGACGCAATAGCTCCAGATTAAAGCCCAATAAGACCTATCCCTGGGGCATTCGTTGCTGGTCACCTTCCCACTACCTCCTAGCCACTCACACCTGCAGAGACTAACAGATTTGCCAAACATGTTAGAGTTTGTTCTGCATGGTAGCACATCAAAAAAAACCTGGGCTGTAGCAAGGGCCCAGCACAGCATAGCCCTTACCTGCTGGCCTGGCTGTCCAGTTCCACAAGCTGCTCAGGTCTTCTGGGGCTGCTCTGTGGCTCTGGGGTCCTGGGGGATGCAGGCTGCTGGGAGGGTGCAGCTGGGTCTCCCTGGCCACCTCTCAGGGCTGCGGGCTTCTCCTGCCAGGTCTCTCCCACCTTGGCAGCCACATTCTTTTCTTCAGAACCAGCCAAGGTGCTGAGGAGGAGTAAATATCCTTATGGAGCAAGTGCTTTGGGACCAGTCCTCCTTTACCCAATGCTTGTTGATGATACCTCCTGTGGCCACAGTGGGCTCCTCTTCCAGAAGATGGGGAAGAGAAGAGCCCAGTATGGCCCCCACCACACAGAGACCAATCTTTTTTGTCTTTGGGAGAACCCCAGGACTACTGATCCCTTCCCACTTGACAGAGTCTGTGAGAACACATGATGACTTCAAAGAGGTTTTGAAAGACAGTCTTTCTAGCTGGAAACAAACAGTGGTATTCTTGTCCCCCTTCTCCCACTGCCATCTTTCTTTTCTCCAAGCCTTCCCCATTCTAGTTCATCTGTCCTGCCTAAAAAGCCTCAAGCCATCTGGTCTTCTCACCAGGCCCTGGTGCTCAGAAGAATTAAGAACACAGGAAGCCCCACATAGGCCCAGCTCTCTCAGAAGGAGCTTCTCCCCTAGGCTCCCCTGGCGGGCTGGGTGAGGGTAACAAAAGGGAAACAGTATCATTTTGCTCGCTAATTTTCAAACAGGCGGGTGACACCATAATAGGTCACCAACACCCAAAGACTCCCAGCCAGACCGGAAGTGTGTGACTCAGCCCCATTTGTGATTCTCGAGCGCCAACTGCTGGACGGTATGGGCAAGACAGCAGCTTAAAGCATGCCGAGATCTATCTTGCCCAGGGCAGCCATTTTCCCTATTGATGGTCACATCTCCCAGGGGACACCTCTGTCGGAGCTCTCGGATGCAGGAAATGGCGACGCATGTGGATGCACACACCCTGAAATGTGTAGGAGCGCAGCACATGCACAAGCAGGCACATTCATATTGTTGTGCCAGCTTTATTTTCACAGTTGGTAGTAATTTGTCCTTTATTGCTAAGTAATCACAGTTATTATTATGAGTCAATCGCATTTTCATCCCCTTTTTACAGATGAACAATCTGGGGTGAGGATCCCTTTGCAGCTCATAAATGGCAATCAAAGGGCGCCTGGGGTGCTCAGTTGGTTAAGGGTCTGTCTTCAGCTCAGGTCATCAGGTCATGATCCCAGGGTCCTGGGATCCAGCCCCACATTGGGCTCCTTGCTCAGTGGGGCGCCTGCTTCTCCCTTTCTCTCTGCCTGTCACTCCCCCTCCTTGTGTTCTCTGTGTGTCTGTCAAATAAAGAAATAAAATCTTTTTAAAAAAGACCCTTCTCACCCTCAGTTTCCTCCCCAACAACAGCCAAACATGGCAGAGCTGTCCACACTCACTCTTGTGACTTCTTCATTCCTTTTCCCTTGTCAACTCCCCCCCGAAGCTACGACTGCTTCCCAATATCCCAAATTATCTGTGCCCAGCACCACTATGTGGTCCTTTAGGTCCGGGCACCCACTGGGGGCTCTCCAGGATCTCGGGGATCCCAAAAGCAACCATTTGAAGCTGAAAAACATAATTTGAATGCTCTAGATATTTTATCCAGGTAGATGAACCTTGAGATACCGCAAAGGCAGTCTCTCCTTGGTCCGCCCCCCCAAACTTAGTCTACAGTCTCCATAAGATTACTATTAGGACAAAAAAAACTTCCTTTTAAAAAAAAAGATATTATTTTTGTTTATTTGACAGAGAGAGAGATCACAAGTAGACAGAAGCAGGCAGAGAGAAAAGGGGAAGCAGGCTCCCCGCTGAGCAGAGAGCCCGATGTGGGGCTCGATCCCAGGACCCTGAGATCATGACCCGAGCCGAAGGCAGAGGCTTTAACCCACTAAGCCACCCAGGCACCCCAGGACAAAAAAAAATTTCTTAAAAGCTTCCTTTACAAATATTAGTAGGAACTGTTACCCTTCTTGTTGAGCAGGTAACCTCAATTTGTCCCATCTGCCATAAACACAACTGTCATAAAAAAAAATAAAGTGGGCAAAGATGAGAGCCAACACTTATAAAACCAGTGAGTTTTGTGGCTGGGTGCTTATAACTGACTCATGGCTGAAAATTTAGAATTAAAGTCATGAGATCTCTCTTTTTCTGTCTGTATGTTTATGTATATATGTATGTTATATATGTGTAATATGTTCCTATCTCTGGAAAGTATACTAAATTAACTTACAAAGTCCCTTATTCTCTATTCCAAATGACGCAGAGATAAATAAGCACTTATGCAAATTAAATATTCCTAAGACTTTCATAAAATAAATAAATTCTGAATTTTGAATGTAAAAAACCAGTTCTTATAAAAACTAACCCAAATGTTTTAAAAATTCAAGTTTAAGACATTTAGCTGAATCTTTGGCAAGCAAGACTAGTTTAACATTCCTAGTTTAATAAGAACAGCTATGTCTTGTGAGTTATCAACCTTACATATGATACAAGCACACATTTTTATTCTACTTGAGTATAATCTTCCTAAACTTAATGGGTTTACTAGCCCAGTAAGCTAGTATTACATCTATTAGATGTTTAAAATTACAAAAAAACACATTTGCTTTTAATCAAACTGTCATTATTCTGATAAACTCTATTTCAACAGTAACTATGTTTTATAATATGTCAGCTTAAAGACAGTTTCCAAGATCTTTTTGGAAATTTAAAACCTTACATTCATGCTAAATTAAATTAACAGATATTCCCTAAATACCTAGATAATTTCAAAGTAAGAAAAAATAGTGCAACACTAGTTACTAAGCCTAAGTTTATATACTTTTTGCTGCTTATTTTTTATAGTACAAAGAGGCTGTAGATAGATTTCTTGATAAAGTCTTCATTTGTCTACATTGAAAAATTATATTATAAAAAGTATATAACTGAAAAATTTTGAGATATATATTCATAAGCTTTACTAGTCTACTGTAAAACGCTGGTATATGACAAACAGTTCAAAATGATCTACCTCCTACTTTTCTTTGTAAAACAGAAGTTACATTATTAATAGTTAAAAATTATAATCAATATGTATAAATGAGACTACTAAAAATAATAACAGCAAAGGAGAACAACTTCGGGTTTTTTTTAAAGTTTTTATTTACTTATTTGACAGAGAGAGAGATCACAAGGAGGTAGAGAGGCAGGCAGAGAGAGAGGGGGAAGCAGGCTTCCTGCTAAGCAGAGAGCCTGATGCAGGGCTCAATCCCAGGACCCTGAGATCACGACCTGAGCCAAAGGTAGAGGCTTTAACCCACTGAGCCACCCTGGCGCCCACGGAGAACAACTTTGTATGCAAGGAATTCAAATCTATTTTTGTTATATAAATATAAATATATATTTTTATAATATATTTTTGTAAATATATATAAATATTTTTGTAAATATAAGTTTTGTGCGGTTCCAAAAATTTTGCAAGATGAAAGGTAAATGGATATTTTTAAAATTATAAAAGATTTATAGAAAAGAAATTTTATTTGTTGTGGTTAAAATTTACTAAAGTTTAATGAGATTATTTATAATATTTTCAAAAAGAGCTCCAGTATCAAATATTGTATGATATAAAACTAAAATTTGGCTTTCTCTCTGTTAAAATAAGACTTTCTTGGGCTGACTGTGTAGCTCAGTCTGTTGAGAATCTGACTCTTGATTTTGGCTCAGGTCATGATCTCAGGGTCATGAGATTGAGCCCCATGTTGGGCTCTGCACTCAGTATGGAGTCTGCTTGGGATTCTCTCTCTCCCTCTCCCTCTCTGTCTCTTCCCCCAATAAATAAATAGAATCTTTAAAAAAAGATTCTATTTGGCCTGCTCTTAATAAAAGGTTAATGGTCTTTCTTTCTTCCTCAGTAATCTATTGTGAAAAATAATGAAGGGAAACCTCACTAAAATGGAGTCAGGAGGCCAGAAGTGGGAGTTCTCATGACCTATCACTCCTTCATGCCCTTTGCAAAACCAATAGAAAGAAGCCTATGTTTTACTACTCCAGAAAATCTTCCAAAAGGAATCTTCTGGAAGATTTTCTCCTCATCTGACAACAGCCAAGCCCATGAGAAGTTGTCACAACTCAGCTAATGAGAAGCCACTAAGAAGTCCCAGTTTACTCCAATGGGCTTTTTGTTTATAACAAGGCCTCCCAATGTGTTTCCTTTTCTTCTATAAAAAAGTGTTCTTCTCCTTTGTTCTCAGACTTGGTTTTGCTATAGTTTCTGTGTCCTGAATTGCAATTCTCTGCTATACCCAACTAAATCCATTTTGCTGGTAAAATAAATGCCAATTTTATCTTTGAGGGTAACATGATCTAAAAAGCTAAGTTTTTATGTCTTATCAAACTAATGTCTTATTTTTTTGTTGACTTTATCATGTCCTCAATTATTTTTAAAAGGCCTCAATTTTAAAAGAGCTAAGAGTGTTTACAATCATGTTATCTTCTATGTTTACTTAAAATTTTTTGTCACTTTGATTTAATAACCAAGTATTATTTCTCACTATTCCATAATCTTAATCAAATGTCCAAAACTCCTGATAACATTCGACATTTTGCCTTCTCCAAATCAAATCTGAAATATCTTTTACACCTAAAACTGACACTGGGATTTCCCAGAGGGCCCAAACAGTTTGTTCTTTTACCTTTTAACAAGAGAAGTGGTAAACTAATTATGTTTTTTTAATTCTGTATAAATTTTATGGGAAGCATTGTCAAATCAAAAAATAATAATAATGCTGTGTCTTTCCTAAATTAAATTTTAAGGAGTAAAATCTTAATGATAAAAATATTTCAGAAATTATATAAAATTCCTAGGGATTTGCTAGTGCCCTCACTGTCCATGACATTTCTCAGAGTCCTGGTGCTGCCTTGCCCAATATTAAACAACAACAGCTCAGTGTTATCAGTCACAATTTCAATTATTTTTAAATGTAACTTAAATATATTCTTACTACCATATTTTTTAAAAGATTTTATTTATTTATTTGACAGACAGAGATCACAAGTAGGCAGAGAAGCAGGCAGAGAGGAAGGGAAGCAGGCTCCCTGCTGAGCAGAGAGCCCAATGTGGGGCTTGATCCCAGGACCCTGAGATCATGACCTGA